ATATTAATTTTAGAATGCAAAAGATAGATAAAAAATTTATATTTTTGACCCATTCCGGCCCTTGGATGCCCTACTACGCGGGCAAGGAGCTTTTTGATTGCGTTTTACTTTGTTTTGTCAGTTTTTGAGACCATTTTTTTAGGCATGCCTAGAAAAATGTAAGGTTCGTGTCAACAAAATTTGATAATTTCTTGAGGTCGTTTTTATTTTATTTTATTTTTTAAAGATAAAAAATAAAGAAAATCATAAAAAATAGAATATTTATCAAAAAATAGTGCCGTTTATTGTATTAATTCCTGAAAATTGTACATTAATTTTAGAATTTGAAACATAACTAAAACTGTAAATTTTTGACCCATCCGGGCTGCTGGGTGCCCCACTATGCAGGCCGGAGGCTTTTTGACAGCGTTTTAATTGCTTTTGTCATTTTTTAAGGCCATTTTTTTGTAGGCATACCCAGAAAAAATGTAAGGATCGTGTCTGCAAAATTTCATAATTTTGTGACGTTGTGATTGTTATATTTTATTTTTTAAATATGAAAAATAAGAAAAATCATAAAAAATAGAATATTGATCAAACAATGGTGCCACTTATTACATTAATTCCTGAAAATCGTATATTAATTTTAGAATGCAAAAGATAGATAAAAAATTTATATTTTTGACCCATTCCGGCCCTTGGATGCCCTACTACGCGGGCAAGGAGCTTTTTGACTGCGTTTTACTTTGTTTTGTCAGTTTTTGATACCATTTTTTTAGGCATGCCTAGAAAAATGTAAGGTTCATGTCAACAAAATTTGATAATTTTTTTAGGTTGTTTTTATTTTATTTTATTTTTCAAAAATAAAAAATAAAGAAAATCAAAAAAACTAGAATACTCTTGAGAAAATGGTACCGCTTATTGCATTAATGCCTAAAAACTGTATATTAATTTTAGAATGTGAAACATAAATAAAAATGTAAAATTTTCACCCATCCGACCCCCTGGGTGCCCCACTACGCAGGGCGGGAGCTTTTTGACAGTGTTTTCCTTTTTTGTCATTTTTAGGCTATTTTTCATAGGCGTGCCCAGAAAAATGTAAAGATCGTGTCTACAACATTTCATAAAATTTTCACATCGTGTTTAGTTTATTTTATTTTTCAAAGATGAAAAATAAAGAAAATCATAAAAAATAGAATATTCATCAAAAAAATGGTGCCGCTTGTTGCATTAATTTCTAAAAATCGTATATTAATTTTAGAATGTAAAATATAAATAAAAATGTAAATTTTTAACCCATCCCGGCCACTTGGTGCCCCAATATGCAGGCTGATAGCTTTTTGACAGTGTTTTATTTTTTTTTGTTATTTTTTGCAGGCGTGCCCAGAAAAATGTAAGGATCACAACTGCAAAATTTCAAAAAAATTTCACATCGTTTCTCATTTATTTTATTTTTCAAAGGCAAAAAATAAAGAAAATCATAAAAAAATATAATATTCATCAAAAAATAGTGCCGCTTGTTGCAATAATTCCTAAAAATTGTATATTAATTTTAGAGTGGAAAACATAAATAAATATGTAAAGTTGTGACCCATCTGGGCTCTTGGGCGCCCCACTACGCGAGACGGTGGCTTTTTGACAGCGTTTTAGTTCTATTTTTCATTTTTTGAAGCCATTTTTTATAGGCATGTCCAGAAAAATGAAAGAATTGTGTCTACAAAATTTCATAATTTTTTACGTCGTTTTTATTTTATTTTATTTTTTAAACATGAAAAATAAAGAAAATCATAAAAAATAGAATATTCATCAAAAATGGTGCCGCTTAATGTATTAATTCCTAAAAATTGTATATTAATTTTAGAATGCAAAACATAAATAAAAATGTAAATTTTTGACCCATTCCGGCCCTTGGGCACCCCACTACGCGGGCAGGGGCTTTTTGGCAGCGTTTTACTTTTTTTGTCCTTTTTAGGCCATATTTTATAGGCGTGCGCAGAAAAATGAGAGGACATTTCTGTAAAATTTCATAATTTTTTTACATAATTTTTTTTTAATTTTATTTTTTAAAGATGAAAAATAATGAAAATCATAAAAAATAGAATAATCACCAAAAATGGTGTCGTTTGTTGTATTAATTCTTAAAAATTGTATATTAATTTTAGAATGCGAAACATAAAAATAAATATTTATTTTTGACCCATTCGGGCCCCTTGACGCCCCACTACGCGGGTTGACGACTTTTTGATAGTGTTTTACTTTTTTTATAATTTTTTAGGCCATTTTTTACAGACATGCCTAGAAAAAAGTAAAGATCGTGTCTGGAAAATTTCATAATTTTTTGACATCAGTTTTATTTTATTTTATTTTTCAACAATGAAAAATGAAGAAAATCATAAAAAATAGAATATTCATCAAAAAATTGTGCCGCTTGTTGCATTAATTCCTAAAAATCGTATATTTATTTTAGAATGCAAAACATAAATAAAAATGTAAATTTTTTATCCATCCCGGCTCCTGGGCGCCCCCACTACGCGGGCCGGGGGATTTTATACGGCGTCTTTCTTTTTTTTTTTTCATTTTTGTGCCCTTTTTTTTTTTTTGCAGGCATGCCCAGAAAATTTTAAGGTTTGTGTCTGTAAAAGTTCATAATTTTTAACGTCATTTTTATTTTATGGATTGTGTTAGAAAATTTTTCTTTTTGCGGCACCATTCTTTGATGAATATTCTATTTTTTATGAGTTTCTTTATTTTTCATCCTTGAAAAGTAAAATAAAATAAAAACAACGTCAAAAAATTATGAAATTTTGCAGACATGATCCTTAAATTTTTCTGGGCATGCCTGCAATAAAAAAGGCCTCAAAAATGAAAAAAAAAAAAAAAAAAAAAAGTTGTATAAAAGCCCCCTGCTCGCGTAGTGGGGAGCCCAGGGGCTGGAATGAGTCAAAAATTTACATTTTTATTTATGTTTTACATTCTAAAATTAATACACAATTTTTAGGAGTCAATGCAACAAGCGACACCATTATTTGATGAATATTCTATTTTTTATAATTTTCTCAATTTTTTGTCTTTGAAAAATAAAATAAAATAAAAATGACTTCAAAAAATTCTAAAATTTGGCGGACACGAGCCTTACATTTTCTGGACATGTCTGCAAAAAATGGCCTTAAAAATGACAACAAAAAAGTAAAACGATGTAAAAAAGTGCCCAGCTCGCGTAGTGGGGCACCTAGGGGCCGGGATGGGTTAAAAATTTATATTTTTATTTATATTTTGCGTTCTAAAATTAATATACGATTTTTAGAAATTAATGCAACAAGCAGCACCATTTTTTGATGAATATTCTATTTTTTATGATTTTTTTTTATTTTTCATCTTTAAAAAATAAAATAAAATAAAAACGACGTAAAACAATTATGAAATTTTAGAGACACGATCTTTACATTTTTCTCGGCATGTCTACAAAAAATAGCCTAAAAAGGACAAAAAAAAGTAAAACACTCAAAAAGCCCCGACCCGCGTAGTGGAGCGCCCAGGGGCCCGGATGGGTCAAAAATTTACATTTTTATTTATGTTTCCCATTCTAAAATTAATATATAATTTTTAGGAATTAATACATTAAGCGGCACCATTTTTTGATGAATATTCTATTTTTTATGATTTTCTTTATTTTTTATGTTTGAAAAATAAAATAAAATAAAATAAACGTAAAAAAATTATGAAATTTTGCAGACACTATCCTTACATTTTTTTGGGGCATGTCTGTAAAAAAATAGCCTCAAAAATAACAAAAAAAGTAAAACGATGTGAAAAAGCCCCTTGAACCGCGTAGTAAGCTGCCCACAGACCGAGATGGGTCAAAAATTTAAATTTTTTATTTATATTTTGCATTCTAAAATTAATATACAATTTTTAAGAATTAATACAACAAGCGACACCATTTTTTGATGAATATTGTATTTTTTATGATTTTCTTTATTTTTCATGTTTGAAAAATAAAATAAAAAAGACGTTTAAAAATTATGAAATTTTGCATACACTATCCTTACATTTTTCTGGGCATGTCTACAAAAAAAAGCCTCAAAAATGACAAAAAAAGTAAAACGAGGTGAAAAAGTCCCTTAAACAGCGTAATAAGGTGCCCACGGACCGAGATGGGTCAAAAATTTATATTTTTTATTTATATTTTGCATTCTAAAATTTATATTTTTTATTTATATTTTGCATTCTAAAATTAATATACGATTTTTAGGAATTAATGCAACAAGCGGCACCATTTTTTGATGAATATTCTATTTTTTATGATTTTCTTTATTTTCCATCTTTAAAAAATAAAATAAAATAAAGACGACATCAAAATATGATGAAATTTTGGAGACACGATCTTTACATTTTCCTCGGCATGTCTACAAAAAGTTGCCTCAAAAAATGACAAAAAAGAGTAAAACACTCTCAAAAAGCCCTCGACCCGCGTAGTGGGACGCCCAGGGGCCCGGATGAGTAAAAAATTTACATTTTTATTTATGTTTCGCATTCTAAAATTAATATACAATTTTTAAGAATTAATACAATAAGCGGCACCCATTTTTGATGAATATTCTATTTTTTTATGATTTTCTTTATTTTTCATCTTTGAAAAATAAAATAAAATAAAAACAACGTTAAAAATTTATGAAATTTTACAGACACGATCCTTACATTTTTCTGACTATGCCTGCAAAAGAAAAAGGCCTCAAAAATGAGGAAAAACAAGAAAGAAAAACGTTGTATAAAAACTCCCGACCCGTGTAGTGGGGCGGCCAGGGGTCATAATGGGTTAAAGATTTACATTTTTATTAGAATTACAGAGAGTGCTAAATGTTTGGTATCATTCAACACAACAGTGAGTATTGAGTAGCAATATAATTTACAAGAAAAAAAATAGTTTCATACTGCCTAAAGAAGCTCATTTTCATCGGCATGGAAAGTTCTATAACAAAATCAAAAATACCTAAACTAACTGGTATGGCAGGATTTCTCTGTTTGCTTTCAATAAAATGTAATAGAGAAAACGATATAATTTGTCAAGTATACAAACTATCTGTATGACGGGTGAATGCTCTACAAAATGAGCAGCCCGAGTCAAATGTTATGATCATTGCCAAAACCCCTCTTTATACTGCCAAAAAGAATAGCCTTTCAAGCGAGTAAGTGGGACTGTTTTCCCCTTGTGGGAAAATCTTACAAAATTGGAGAAGACTGGGTTGTATCCTCAACCATATCTATTTGTTCAGAGGTTCTAGCTGAACTTCCATTCTTCTCGATGTCTGTGATTCTTTATCCGAAAGTGTCCCAGTCGGGCTCAACAAATCAAGAGAATCATCTTCATCTAGGTTGCCAAGCACCCAATTGCTTCTTCCAGAAGCTTTCACCCTCCTCTTTTGCCTTTCACCATACTCCAGATAAATGACCGTCAGTGCTCCAAGCAAGAACCAAAATATTAAGGCCAAATTAAGTCCGTGAACATTTTCTCCATATCTATCACCTAAATGCTTCATTCCTGTGAAAAGTGCAGCAATACCTGCAACAATAGCACCTCTTCCCACAATCACGTGCAAATACTCCCAAAGGCGCCTTCTTGACGATACCTCTTCTCCATTAGCTGGTTTTTTAGGCCTTAAGAAAGCATTCACTGGTTGCGCGCAAGCCAAAAGTGTTGCGAGCGTTCCAAACTTCACATGTAGTGAGCCAAAATGGAAACCTCGAAGCTCAGCCACGGCAAAAAGAACAGCGAGAAGGACGATTGCCAAACCTGAGTACTGCAAGTAAACATGAATCTGGTACCACCCATCACCCTTCACATGTTTTAAGTATCTAGCCGCCAGTATTCCACCAGGAAGCAATATACCCCAAGCGAGAAACATCATAAATCCATGCACAGCTAATACAGGACGTATATCTTGCTCTGCCTCTGCAGAACCACGCATAAGCAGAACTCTTGTAACTCTACTGCTCATAACAGAATGCATATTTCTCTCGGCTAAAGTTCCATTTGTCCACCCAGTTCCCATAGCCCAAATAACTTTTAGAGGAGTAGTAGGATCAATGATGTTTTTACAAACTGGATCATTACTCCGACCACATGATGGCTTCAATGGCCGCGTGAACTCCAAAGTAATCATGCCATTTTCGGACTTGCAACGGACATACGCCAGATTCTCATTCGTTGGATGCACACTGGAGGCATCAGTTCCATCAATCCAGTAAGTGTCCACCCGCCCTTTGCCAATATTATCAACCCATCCCACATAAGCATAGCTATTTACCATTCCAGTACCAAATCCTATCGCCAGATACCCACTCTTCTTCTCAGCACGAGCAGCAATAGATATTGAATCTTCATACAACGTCCAAAAGAAGGTAACTTGCTGATCATCTAGAAAAACACTATTGTTATACATATCTGGCAGACCACCATCAACTACCTGCACTCTCCAACCCATTTTCTGCTGATACAGTGACTGATAGTAAACCTCGTTCGGAGTATTCCTGTCTGGCGCCCAAACTAATTCCGTTGGACTTGCTTGAACTCCTTCAGCTTCTGGCCCTCCTGCATAAATAGTCTCAGTCATATTCCTCAACGTCGCATTTCCACCGATCGGATCAGAAGTAATGTAGAGGGCCACATCATGCCCGGCTTGTATTGAAAACTTCACAGGCACCCCTCTTTCAACCCTCAACACTGGAGCCTCTTTCTTGTTAATGTACAAAACCTTTGAAGGGTTTGGAGGGTTCGGGAAATGCAATGCCGGACCAGTCGTGACCACAAGAGCAGCATTTGCATCTGCAATAATGAGATCCTGATCCTCCTTGTCTTCTGCATCCAAAGGACCTAGACAATCATCCACATGCTCTGAAACATTCAACACCAAATTCCCAAAAGTAACACGCGGCGATTGGCCATGGTTTTGAGGAAGATAGTAGGGCCGAATAGTATCAGGAGGCCTTATCTTCCCCATCGCCCAAATAACTGACATGTGCTCAGTATGGTTCACAGGCACATCATACTTCTCATCAGCCGATTTCAACAGTCTCTGATAACGAATGAACGAAACCCCATCCCTCCTATGCCCATAAACCAGCTTCGTATCATTCACGGAACCAACAGAGTTTGAGCCTTCATAAATCCTATCGGGACAAACCCCACGAGCAGAATCATCCTTGTTCACAGAGCAATCGCTGTAGTCGGAGATGTAGAAGTCGTCCACAAACGGCAGTCCGTCTTCCCTGAAACCCGTGACGGCAACATCAGCCCCGATCATCAGATTAGAGGGCGATTTAGGGTTTGCCCAACCGAACGCCATGTAATTCATCGTCGCAGTGGCCGCCTCCAATCCAATATCAATCAAATTCTCATCGGCTTGCAATGTCCATCTAACCCTGTACTTCTCCGACAAAACTTTGCAGTTCTCAAACACGGTCAGCTCTGTGTGACCCCGAGTTCTTCCCGAAACTCCATCCGTTGACGGAGAAGGAGCCAAACTCGAACCTTCTGTTGACTCATTACTCGCGTTCGTCAACAAGGCATGCCCAAAGTTTGACGCCGTGGGACGGTCCCAAACGGCGAGGACTTGGATCCCATTCCAGGTGACATTCTTCCTCAAACGCACAAGAAAAGACGAGTTCTTGTGCGTGTCGTTCAGCTTCTGATCGGACACAGCGAAGCCGGCAATGAGGTTTTCGAAATCGGGAGCGATCGCGCCCCACCAGAGCACCTCCAATCCCGAAAGCATGTCGAAATTGGAAACCCTAAACGAGCAATCGTCGATTATCTTGAAGGAGCCCCTGAGTTGGTGCTGAACCATCTTGAATTCCGATTCGAATCCGACGAGGGGACTGGTTTTGGGGCAATCCGGACTCGGATCCCCATAGCAGAGGACGAGTAAGCCGAGAAAAATCCCAAACAAAATGGGATCGCGAGGCATGGGAATCGGAGATCCAGATCCGATGGGATCGTCTTTGTTTTGGTTCCGATTACCGGTTTTTCAATCGAAGGCAAACTAACGTAGAATTTCAGAGAGAGAGAGAGAGCGAATGACGATAAAGTTTACCTGGTCGTAATCGGAGGAAAAACCAGTCGCCAGCGATGGAGGAGAGAGAAAGTGGGCGGAGTTGCGGTTGCCGGGTTGAGAGGGAAAAGAGGCGAAGGAACGAAAGGAAAAGGAGTAGTAGTGCGTTACGCAGTCGATATTATTCAATGGACGGTGGCATTGGCATATTCCATTTCATGTTGACACATTTTCTAGGAAAAATCGGTTTGTGTGGGGGTCTTAATTGTCACGTCCCTAGAATTCTTTCTTTGTGCTTAAGAAATTGTTCTCTTTTTTTTTTTTTTTGCATGCTTGAAAAATTGTTTGGTAAATGCCATTAACAGCTCATAAAAGCCATATAGATTGAAAAAAATTTATGGTAAAGTATCTTTGTTGATAGTATGTTTTTAAACCTTGAACTTAATCAAAATTAAATTAAAAAATACAAAAATGACAAGCTTCATTGATAGATTTTATTCACACACTATCCGTAATTCTCATAAAGAATTATGGTTAGGTATTTTTAAATGTATATATATATATATTAATGTGATGATTAGTCCTGTTTGTTTCATTAGTTCGAGTCACAACTCAAATTTTTATTATAATATTTTATATCAAAAAATTTAATTTAATTTTTTATATTATAATATTTTCTCATATATATTCACTTTTTAAGATCTCAATTCAAACTAAGAAAATAAACAGTAATGTTCAAATCTCTCCGACCCATAAAGAAAAAACAACTAAAAAGAAGACGTTTTTGTCTTTCAATTAATAGTTCTGTAAGGTTGTTATAAAAAGAATGGCCTGTTTTGTAATAAGCAAAAACGTTATAATCGCTTGTGGTATAAATATTTTTCTTTATTTTTTTTCCACTCGGAGTGCATTAAAAGATGTTTCGTCTTTCAAAATATGAATACTGTGCTTTACTTTATACAAGTTCAATGTCCCGTCAATTTTTCTGGAGAGTTGGAGATTATTAGGCCGTTCATTTTACTGATTTGAGTTTAGAATTTAAGTTTTGTTGCAGTAAAAAATTCTAAAAAATAATTATATCTAACTTTTTTACTACAGTAAAAAACTTTCACATAAAATCATATTTAAACTCAAATTAAAAACTCGAATCAGCGAACTAAACAGACCCTTAGAACGTGAAGGCAATAACACTTAACGTCTTCAAAAAGTAGACATCTTTTATTTTTATTTTTAGAGCTCGTTTAGTTCGTTGATTTGAGTTTTTAATTCAAGTTAAGATGTGACTTTATATGAGAATTTTTATTGTAGCAAAAAAATTAAATGTGACTGTTTTTGAGAGCTTTTTACTATAACAAAACTCGAATTCTAAACTCAAATCGATAAAATGAGTAAGATCTTAGTTAAGAAGAGGTGACAGAAATCAAGTTTCTTTTTTCTTCTCTTTTTAAAGAGGGGTCACATGTTAGTTGTATTGTTGTAGATTACAAGCCTGTTTATTATTTGACTCTCTTCTTGATGGAGGAATTGTCTTTTATTGACAGACAAGGAACTATTTAAAAATTTTAGCTCGTTCATTTCACCGATTCGAGTTTAAAATTTAAGTTTTATTACAGTAAAAGGCTCTCAAAAATAGTCATATTTAACTTTTTTACTACAGTAAAAAATTCTTACATAAAATCACATCTCAACTCGAATTAAAAACTCAAATCAACAAACTAAACATGCCTTTTATATAGTTTATATTTTTCTCTTGCTTGATGGAGAATAAAAAATAACTATCTTTTTTACTTGTGAAAAAAAGAGATAAATAGTGTTCTTAAACTCTCACTCAACATCTTAAAAAGAATTTATTGGGATCACAAGTAGAACGGTAAGAGAACATAACCTCTGTTTTCATCCGTCAATATTTAGAGAGTCCAAATCGTAACAGACCCATTGAGAGATTTAAACTCGTTTATTTCGTATACTTAAACTTAAATTATTAATTTTATTATAGTATTTTTCTTTCACAAAAAATTTAAATTTTAAATGTCAAAATTAAAAATCATAATTTAAGTATAAATGTTATGAATTACAAGTTTTGATCAAATTTAAATCAAGTTCTATCAGTCTATCACACTAGGTTTACTAACAAGTCTATGCATATGAGAAATTACGGAATTCATCTTTCTAGCTTTTTTAAACGTCAAACGCCTTTGAGGCTTTAAGCATTTGACATTTTTGTTCTTTTTTTATTCCGCATAGAAAAGGATTTAAGTTTAGGGTGACGTGTTACAAACCCAACACTTGCAAGTTGTCTTGACTAATTTCCAGTTGGCTTTCGTTTTTGTACATAATTTTCATTTTTTTTTTTTTGCTTGAAAAAGAATAAAAGTTTAATACAATGAAAAACTTTTTAGCGTGTTTAGAATTATTATTGTTTTTATTTTTTACGTTTTAAAAAAATAAAATAAAAATAATTTTAAAATGATATTTAACACAATTAAAGATAAAAAATAAAAATAAAAATAATTTTTTAATTTAGTATAAAATGAGATAAATAAAAATTTTTAATTATTTTTTATTTTCTCCTCTCTTGAGAATAAAGAGAGACATTAATAAATTTTTTATACTGAAAATAATCTCTTAATAAAACTATCAAACGTATTTTTAAAAATAATTTCTATCTGAGATTGAAAACGTTTTCATTTTCATTTTCATACAAAAAACAAAACTATTTTAGAACAAGTTCTAAACGCACCCTTTATTTTTCTCTCAATAAACAATGCGCCGCACAACATGCACTGATTATGACCTCGTTCATTTCACAGATTCGAGTTTAAAATTTAAATTTTACTACAATAAAAAATAATCACATTTAACTTTTTTACTATAGTAAAAAACTCTCATATAAAGTCGCATCTTAACTCGAATTGACGAACTAAATGGGCCATATATTAATTAAAAGGAAAAAAGAGAAAAATATGTCAATACTTGAGATGAATTAAAATTAATAGGCCAATAGTTTACATAAGTTAATAAATAAGCCAAATTACTGTTTTCATCCATAACTTGTTTGGTTATAAACCATAACTTGACAAGTTATTGTCCATAACTTATCTGATTATGAACCATAACTTGACAAGTTTGTCCATAAATTATCTGTTTATGAACCATAACTTGACAAGTTATGACCTATTAATTACTATAACTAAAAAATGGCTTATATACTTTCTTAAGTTTTTCATATTGGCCTATTTCCTACTATTTCCCTAATTAAAACTCGAAATCATATCTGGGCCACGTTTTATCCCGGATTTTCAGTAAAATGCCACTATTTTCTTTTCTTTTGTTTGCACGTTATATCCCCCGTTATCTGGGAAAAGGCCCAAGGAAAAGTTTAACCCAGCAGATCAGATTACATAAAAAAGCTTCTTCTAAGAAGTTTTATGTCAATAATAAGGCACAAACTACAAAAGCCAAAAATGTAACGAACAGAATTTTGGCATGACAAAACAATTACTTAACGTTCTAAACATACTTAAAGCTGTGTGTGTATATGAACCTAAGCAATCCGGAGAAGTGAAGGGCGTCATCTCAAAGATTTAATGCCACAACCAATCAAAAAGTCCGGAGACCTCCCTAATATTCATCATGATCTGCAGAAACAAGATTTTTCTTGTAGTATAACATCCTAATTCCTGGTCCTTTCCACACGCGGAAATTTCCAAGGTTATTTCCTAAATTCAAAAAGAAGGATTAAGGAAAGCACCCTTACATCACCCATGTGCATGCACAAACGCATGGACAAAAAGGAACTAAGTGCTCCAATTGTTTAGTTGATTTCTGCAAGGTAAATGCCAATGCCGACAAGCAAAACTTCACACAAAGTTAGACTCTAATTTACGTGTATGTAGTAGCTAAAAAGGGACCAATCTTAGAGTCAGAAAGCAAAGGACAAATCTCACACAAGCGCTACTGAGATTTAAAAAAAAAAAAAAAAACATATAGAATGTACATTAGTAGGCTAGTTAGAAAGTTACTAGTTCACTGTGATCAGAAATCATACCAATTAAAGGACACTCGAACTTGTGGCGTGTATATCTCCAGCTGCACAACCTGAACTGCAAGAAAGCTAAAATTCGGCAGTGAAATCATTTTACTAGTGGATCTCTAATGCGATGTATCATTATATTATCAAAATAATTGAACTTTATGCAATGAGCTCAACAGAAACAACGCAGTGAAGATCAAATAAATTACAAAACGAGGCTTAAAAGTAAGACAACATCATAAACCTTTTTATTGAAACACTAATATAATTTACAAGAAACTCGAAGCTACGGAACCAGTTAAGGTTTCGGTTACAACAAAAGAAACGAAGAAAAAGGTTAAAAACTAACACAACGATTTCATTTGCCAAAGTGTACAAAGAGAACTAAATGCCTCACACTCAAATAGTCTACAAATATTCATCAATGCTTTTTGCCAAATTATTTCTCTTTCAATTAGTAGTCTGTCCATTTTCAACACCAAGACCATACAGAACACCTGCATACTTCTCAGTGGATCCATTGAAAAAGGTATCCCTCAATTTCCTGAAAGTGCACGACGTGAGCAAACTATCAGAGCCCGCTTGATGGCAAACCCCCACTCTTTCCACTTCCAACAACTCCGCAAGCTTGTTCAACCCGCCATGGAGGCTATTGCAAAACTTCATCAGATGCTTAATGTCATAAACCATGGGAAAGTACACATTGATCAGATCAAAGAAACCTGCTTGTGTGTCAGGCAAACTCTGGCATGTCAACAGCTTGAGCAAGTACCCAAAATCATACCCACTATGGAATGTGACCCAATGCACACCATCATTCAAAACAATCCCGGATGACATCAGGAGCTCGCCAAAACGGTTCACATCAATGCCCTTCTCGTTGTTCTTCTTGAAATCGATCCCACACTGGCGCAACAATTCAATTGAATCGCTGGCGAATATGTCTTCGCTTATGTTAAACTCGCGGAAATTGAACTGCCAAATGCAGAACTTATCAGTTCCGCAAGTTGGAAGGTTCCCATTCTCGTCGGAGAAAGTGAGACCCAGTTGAATCAGTTTCAACATGTCAACGTTGTCTTTCAGAGTCTGGTAGTTATAGTCATTAATGTTCTTGAAGTTCCCCACAGGGCGAAGAACAACGCCGGGGAACTCGGTATCCATGGCGACATAGTTGTACTTGTCGACAATTTCACGGATTAAAGCGAATTCCTCTTCCAGATTATCGTTCCATACTTCTCTGATTTGAATCGAATCGCCATCGCCTTTTGTTAAAATCGACATTTCCAATTCACCAAATCAAGCAACACACTGATGATTAATACTAACAAACCCAGATCTCTAAACAATAGCCCTAAAGCACTCAAAACCTCAAAAACGGCACTAAACTCCAGATCGACAACCGATTTTCTCCCTCAAAACCTATAACAGATCCAAGATAACATATCCAGACATGAAAAAAGAGTTTACAAGCCTTTAAACCTCAAAAACCTGAGATTGGTAACTGCAGATCGGGGGTTGAAACAACGTTGTTGTTGAGATTTCCGCTAGATCTGAAACAAATCCACGAAAACCAACCATTAATCGAAAGCGAATCGGAGTGTTAGCCAAAGATACTAGACAAGAACCCAACAACGCTACAAACACAAGTGAATGAGGAAAAAACTACGAGTGGGTAAGCAATTCGACCTTGGATTCTCCAAATCGGGGCCGGAAATGAACAGATCTAGAACTTGGAAGCACGATTCTGGCTTCTCCGAAGAGAAAGCTCTAGGTCAACGAACCAGAGATAGAGAGAGAAAAAGTAGAGAGAGATAAAGGGCAAATGGTAGAGGAAGAGAGAGAGAGAGAGAGGGGTCTTCTACTGGGGATGGCCTTCTTAACAACTGAGAGGTCATGAGCGAAAAAGAGGAAAGTGACGCTTCCTCAAATGTGAGCTTAAACGACGACGTCTCGAACCAGACATTTCCATAAAACGACATCGTATCTTCGTTGCTTCCGTTTTGGGTCTTACTTTCTCTTTCCCGAAATTGTTTTGTGTCGTAACTTGTAAAAATGATTAAATGGCATTTGCCAATTTGTTAGCCACAAAAAAAAGGAGCTATTGCCAATTAGCACTGTTTGGCGTTATATTGCCTATGCATATTTCAACTCTCTATTTCCAAAATAAAAAAAAAATAAAAAAATTATAGGTTTTCAATTTGCTAAACTTGTAAAGTTGAGAGATTTTTTTTAAAAAAAAAACAACTTAAAAGAATAACAATTAAGAGAAAATAATATATATTGTTTTAAAACAGTTATATATTTGATATCATATTCTATTTTCTATTTCAAACTTTCAATGTATAATGTAATTTTAAAATTTTGTATTTAACTTTGGTATAACTTTTTAAACTTTAAAAATTATAAAATAAATAATATTATATTAATGATCAAATACTAAAATTTAACACAGATGCAAAATTAAACATGAAATACGACATGCGTAAAGAATTTAACTTTTAAATAACATGCTAAAATTTTGCATTAAAATGTTAATTTGGCACTCAATTGAACTTAGAAATGGTCTTACTACAAATAGGACATAATCCGTTAGTCTTCTCAAGGCTGAAGCTCGAATTGAAAGGAAAATAAAATGGGAAAATTGCTTAACTTATCGGAGTATATAAGTTTAAATTTTTATCTGTTATTCTTAATTAATACTCTTTTATTAATATAATTATGGGATAAAATTATTTTGGTACTCTGTATTATAGCAAACATACTCTTAGTATCATGTGTTTTTTATAATATTAAAATGGTACTTTGACTTTTTAAAAGCATATTCTGAGTACTCCGAAGCTAATTTTTAAGATATATAATGTCCAAACTACCATTCTTATCAATTAAATATAAATTAATATTTTTTTAAAAAATCTAAAAATATATTAAAATATTAAAATATTTAAAAGAAAATAACAAAATAAAAAAATTCATGATTTTTTTTCCTAGATCTATTTTTTGATTAATTAAATAAAATGATACTAAGGTTATTTTACATCTCTAAAATCAACTTTAGAGTACTAAAAAGATGTTTTTAAAAACGTCAAGATACCGCTTTAATATTATTAAAAAAATAAAGTACTAAGAGCATGTTTCGCTATAGCACAGGGTACCAAAATGATTTTATCCTTATAATTATTTGACTAAAAAAGATATTAATTAAGAGTAAGAAGTAAAAGTTTAAACTCGTGCACTCTAAAAATATTTGTGTTCTTACTCAAATAAAATTAAACTATATTCGCTTTTGTCAGTGAAGACAACATTTGTGCATGTCTTAAAACATCTTTATTCCAGTTGCGTCAATTTATTATTGTCACACGTAATATAGCACGGCCACATAACAAACATGTAATTCAATTATTGTGTGCGAGGTACTTGCGTAGAATTGAAAATTTGACGAACGTTTGGTCAAATAATAGACACGATACATTGAATTTTTCTCTTCTATATACTTTATTTGAATGGACCACCTTTGGCTCCGGCTGTTCAAATTGACCATAATTCATATGATATTCGAACCGATTAGCAAATATATATATATATATATGAGATTTGAACCGGTCAAATCTCTGAATTATTATTAATTCTGAAAGCGATAGCACTGTAGATAAAAATGAAAATTAATATTTGGTTGAAGTTCTTCACTTTGACCCTTTTTTTTTTTTTTTTTTGCTGAATAAAAAACTCTTTATTGAAAGTTAAAAAAGGCTAAGGCATAGTGACCACAGAAGACGCCAAACACCCCGAAAAACCTAACATCAGGACCCATTTAGCAATTCTATCAGCACAAGTGTTTTCAGTCCTAGAGATCCAGTGAAAGGAAATATTTAGAATTCTGACTACACTTAGTGGACGTTTTGTTCGTATATTTAAAATCATAATTCAGAATTATTCTCGTTTTACATGTGTTTTTTGTGAGAGAAAAATACTGCAGAAAATCATGAATCATGATTTAGAATCAGAAATGAATACAGGAAACAAACGGGCACTTAGTTAACACATTGTAAAACATGATAAAGCCTGCCAATCATTAGGTGGAGCCTCTGTAAAGCATCCATAACTACCAGGCAATCACCAAATACTACAACCTACTGATGAACCCCGTAAGCCACATCGACTGCAAGATCAGTTGCCTGAAACTCAACTTTCGCGATAGATTAGGCAAAGCAAACCCTTGTCCAAATTTTATGTATGTCACCAAAACCATCCATCAAAATAGCACCAAGGCCCGCTTTTCCGTTGACAAAAGCCGCATCAAAATAAATTACCAGATCATCGCCATTCACCGAAAGAGGGGGAGGCACACCGAAACGAACACGCAAGTCTTGCGAGGGATCTACCAAGAGGTCCTCACTATTCACCCAACGATTCTTGTCGTCCTAACACAATCTTTCGATATCCTAGAAGAGCTGCCACTGGTTATGAGGTTTTGCCTCGAAAACCACCTCATTTCAGAGCCTCCAAATCTCATGAAAGCATATGGAACCCTAAAGGACAAAAAGCCAGTTAGTGTTGTAGATTTTAAAAAAAGAGTTAATTTCAATAATAGCACTCTTCAATAAATTATTATTAATTTTAGCACCATTTTTGTATATTTTTACAATTAACATTGTCATATCAGCGTGTGAGGTACAATGACTTTTATGCAACTTATGTCAAAATTATTATTTAAAAACACCTCAAAGAAACTCTCATCTCTCTCCCGTCCATTATCTCTCTCTCTACACCTCATTTTCAGCTCTCTCTCTCTCTCTCTCTCTCTCTCTCTCTCAAGTTTGACCTCTCTCTCTACTCGGTCTCTCTCTTCCCTACGCCTTCATTCCCTCGTCCCTTCGTCGCCAATACTCCGGTTGTGCACAGATCGAGGTTGGTACACAATTTTTTTTTGTTTTTCTTTTATTTTTATCTTTTTAAATTTATTTTTCGGGAGACTTAGTATATAGAACTTGAAAAAAATAATTGTGTTGAACTTAATGTGATAGGAATTGAAAATATCCTTCGTCAATTTGAGATTTTAGATGGTTTATAACTGATTGTAACGACCAACACACCAAAGACATAGTTGACCTTGGGAGTCATAGTATTATAACTCATAGCGTTATATGTCAGGTCATAATACTATGACCAGTCAGTCATAATAGTATGAGTCATTGTTTATGAGTCAAATTATAACAATATGAGTCAAAATGGCAGGTCATAGTATTATGACCGTAAGGCAGTCATAGTGATATGACCGTCCAGTCATAATATTATGACTGAAATGACCCATAGTGTTATGACTAGCACACTATAACTGCCTTATGACCAGTCATTATACAATGTTATGACTAACCATATCTAATGACTTGATGACGACTAGGAGTAATTGCATGTTGATTAACAGTTATTATTTTTGAAATTATTTAGGAATGACTGCTGGATTGAACGTATTCATCAAGTACAATGGATATTGGGACCGTGCTTCGAGATATGTCACTTGTGATTCGGCCACAAGGAAAAAATTTATCCTTAAGATATGTTGTTGAAGACGGGGAAGCTCCTGTGAAGATATCGTCTGACTATGATGTCACATTCTACCAACGACGTCTCTTCCTCCAAAGCCTTTCTTTTCTTCTAAGATGACAAAAAATAGTAAAAAAAACAATAAATACAAAAAAAAAAAACAAGAAAAGCAAACAAAGTTATTAACCAAAGTACTATGACTACACACTAAGAGTCTGACCATTGAGCGATCATAGTACTATGACCGACGGTCATAATTCTATGATCGCCCATCATGCAGACTCGCTCATAGTGTTATGACTGATGGCCGGTCATAAGACAGTCACATAGTGCGGTCACAGTACTATGATCGACGGTCATAATGCTATGACCACAGGCTCTTCAGTCAGGCAGTCACACTATGAGCCTGCATGCATGATGTTCGGTCATAGAATTATGACCATTGATCATAGTACTATGACCACACGATGTGTATGTCTTATGACCAATCATAATACAATTACCGACTGGTCATAATAATATGACCGGCCATTAGGCAGACTCACAGACCAAATAAGGAGCAGAATGACAATAAACAATTTCAAATAACTGACTTTATCTGTTTTATATCCTCCTCCAAAGCCTTTTTTTCTTCCAAGATGACAAAAAATGGTAAAAGAAAAAAAAAATACCTAAGAAAAAAACAAATAAACAAGAAAAGCGAACAAAGTTTTCATATTTGTCTCAAAATCCGCCATTGACCTCGTCTGTTTCGTGGTTGATTTCTCCATTGTAGAATGTTAGGAGGGTGAGGTTTTCTCAGTTCGTGTTTATGGGTTAGGCATTGATTTCTCCGACAAAGGTTCGTGGGTTCTCATTGCATGATTATGAGTTCGTGGGTTCTCACTACGTGGGTGCTCGTTGTCGTGAGTTCGTCGGTGCTCAAGGTGGTAGACGGTGGTAGACAGTAGTGGTCGTTGGGGTTTCTTGGTCTCTGTGCACACTCGCGTTCATTCTCCTCCTCCTCTCTCTACTTTGAATATTTGAATTATAAAAGGCTTCATAATATATATTCAATGCTTTAAAACTGAAATAGGGCACAATTGTCATTTTAACTCAAGTAAAAATGGTTTGGTCCCACTTTTACTGACATGGCGATGCTAATTGTGAAAGTATACAAAAGTTGTGCTAAAATTAATAATTATTTATTCATGAGTGCTATTATTGAAATTAACCCTTAAAAATTGATATTTGAAAAAAAAATAGCTGTTACAAAAAGTAGATGAGTGTTTGGTAAACTGTAATTATACAAGTATTGATTTTAAGGGTATTATGAATATTATGAAAGTTTT